TATATACTTAATTTTAGTAAATATATATATATATATATATATATATATATATATATATATATATATATATATATATATATATATATATATATATATATATATATATATATATATATGTATATATATATATATATGTGTATATATATATATATATATATATATATATATATATATATATATATATATATAAATATATATATATATATATATATATATATATATATATATATATATATATATATATATACACATGTTTATATAAACTGATAAACTTTTTAATTATTTATTTTTTAGACCTTAAAGTTAAATAAATAATGATACCTGTAAAAAAATTTTATTCTTCGAAAAACAAACAAAAAGTTAAAACGCATTTAGTATCTAAAGATGCTTTGGTCATAAATTTTGATGAGAGCGATGTTGATAGTGATAACAATAATAGTGATTTAGATGGTGCAAATTATGAAAAAGATTTGTTCATGTACAGTGATTTTACTTGCTCAGAATCTGAGTCTATTGTTGATGAAAGTTCTGATGATGAAAGTTTCACTAATAAAATAACTTCAGCAAATAAATTTTTCAATCATGTATATCGTTGGCGTAAAGTTTCTGTCCCAAAAGAAATTGATGCTTTTAATGGCGAGCCTCTTCCAGAACCACCTTATCCAGAACTAACACCTTATCAGTACTTTAAAAAACTTTTTAGTTCTGAAATATTTGATCTAATTTGTAGAGCAGACAAATCTATATAGTGCAAATTTGACTGGTACATTGATAGCAGTGACAAACGATGATATCGAAAAATATGTTGGCATATTAGTTTTGATGTCAATAATTCAACTTTCACATCAGAGGTTATACTGGAGTAATGAAACTCGTATACCAAATATAGCAGACGTCATGACTTCGAAGCAGTTTGAGATAATAAAACGCTATTTGCATTTTTCAGATAATAGTAAATCGCTTCCCTCAAACCACCCTAATTATGACAAATTATTCAAAGTGCGACCGCTTATTCAACTTATTTTAACAAACATCAAAAATATTCCACAAGAAGAAAGTCATTCGATAGATGAACAAATTTTGCCAACAAAAGGAAGATCTTTTCTAAGACAATATCTTCCTAAAAAACCCCATAAATGGGGTATAAAAGTATGGGCCAGATGCGGTGTTTCCGGAATTGTATACGATTTTGAGACTTATTGTGGAAAATGTTTGTTGAATAAAAATGAACTTCCAGGTTTATTAATGGAAGGCAATGTGGTTTATCGCTTGACACAAAGTTTGCCTAGTGGTGTTAACTACAAAATCTTTTTTGATAACTATTTTTCATCTATCGATATTCTTTGGTTGCTCAAAGAGAAAAATTTTTTGGCTGTAGCAACAATCCGTAAAGATCGTTTAAAGGATGCTAGTAAAAAGTTACTTAATGAAAAAGTTCTCAAAAAAGCTGGAAGAGGCTCCTCAAGACTATATTGTTGATGTTAATTCAGGAATTTGTATTATAAGATGGTATGATAATAATATTGTGCAACTCATCTCAAATTATGTAGGAAATGAACCAGGTACTCCTGCTAACAGGTGGTCAAAAAAAGATAAAAAATTTGTGACTATTGATCGACCCAAGATAGTTGAAATTTATAATGCTCATATGGAAGGAGTTGATTTATGTGATATGCTGCTAGAAACATACAGTGTAAGACAGCGCACCGTTAAGTATTATATGCATATTTTTTATTACTGTATCGGCATATCTGTAAACAATAGTTAGCTTCTTTATCGTCGTCATATGAATCAACAACATGTTCCTACCAAGAATCAGCTATCACTGTTACAATTTCGAACACAAATTGGAGACAGTTTGTGTAAAGCTGGTAAAACTTTATTACTTGCAAAGCGTGGGCGCCCATCACTTGCTGCAGAAAATAAAGTAGCTGCAAAAAGACGCCCACCCAACATTAAAAACCCTTCTATAAGTTTTGATGTGTAGCCATTTCCCAGTATTTCAAGAGAAACAAAGTCGCTTTAGGCAGTGTAAAAATGGTTTTACTTCTATTCAATGTATGAAATGCAAGATAAACTTATGTCTTTTAAAAGGAAGAAACTGTTTTAATGAGTTTCATGGAGTTGACCAATAATATTTAATGTTTTAATCCATAAATAGTTATTTCTTGTTGTTGTTCAGTATCCCTATTTGACTTTTGTTAACACCCTTTTTGACTGTTTTTTTTAATTTTAATATTATTACTCTTTTAATAAATGTAGTGTAGCATTAATATTGCTAAAACGCAAAGTTGTTTGTTTATTAAAACTAACTGTTGGCGGGCAGTGTTGTTCTATAACAACAAATTCAAATGACACCTTGAAATAATTTTTTTTTTCATTTATTTTTTTATTTGTCATATTGACATAAATAAAGTTCAAAAAAACTTAGTATAATTTTTTTTTTGTTATGGGATGATAATTAGAACATGAAAGGGCTAAACTAAAAAATAAAAAAGTAGTGTTGTTTTTTTCATAAAAAACCCCCGTCTTCGTCAAAACGGGGGTTTTAAGGTATATTTAAAAAAAAATTTTTTTAAATAAATTATTATTTATAAAACAAGAATTTTTTTCTGCTTTTTTTAAGTCCGAGGTTGATATGGTTTCAAAAAAAAATTAAAAATATTAGGACCCATCAAGAATTTAGAATCCAAAGATATCTGTCTCAGGAATATTGATTTTTAAACTTTTTTTTTTGCTATGAAAATCGCTCCACCCTAATGCATATACTCCAAGAAATGTAAAATCTATTTCAAAACACATTTGATTTGATCTGTGAGGAGGCTTTAACTCATCAGAAAGTTGATTAAATAACTAGATGTATAAGATGAACCTCGTCATATTTATTAATATCACCACGTTCTGTAAAAAGTAAACATCAATCAACAAAGTCCGTTTGTAAAGAGAAATATAAATATTTTCTCAGGGTTTTATTCAACAATGTAACTACAACTCTGTTAAACGAAAGCTCGAAGATATAATTTTTACAACTGATGATTTATTAATATACATTCAATAACTTTTAATATTTCTCCTTTTCATATATATGACGGATTCTTCACAAAAAAAATATTAAATATCTTGTTGATCTTTTATCAATTTTATTTACTACAAAAAAATCACGTTTATTTTAGCAACTCCCGACGACACGACCTAACGGTTTTCTACGAATCCCCGCGTTCTACTATTTTTTATTTACGATCTTTATTTGTATTTTTTAATCTAATAATATACTTTTTCTTTTAAATTTTAAAATGAAATGCTGTTTAAATTACACAATACACATCAACTAACAAAACAAAAAACGTCGAAACGATTTTAGTATTTAAGGTGTGTAAGCGGTTGTTTTTATTAGTCGAACGGCAAAAATTAAAAAAAATCCAAGAACAGAATCCTAAGAGTTTTTCTTATTATCTTCGTTAATAAGTAATTTAAAAATTTCTAGCTTTTTTTAACGCCTCTTACTCATTTTTATGCGTCTGTTTAATTTTCATACCTTTTAACCAAAGTGTTCTATTAAACAACTTTGATACTTTTACTTCTCTATTGCTCCCTTTTCCGTCTATTCCCTTTCCTGCCTTTTCCCTTGTTATTATGTTCATTCTCGCTTTCTTTCAAACAGTCAACTCTCAGGTTACTCTCTCAAACTATCTATTCTTTGGATATTCTTTCGTTGAAAGGATAAGCTGAGAATGTACGGCTTGAAAGTAACTTTAAAATTGGTTTTGGCGTAAAAACTTGAATCACTTTTCAATTCTTAGGTTATTTTTTTTTTCGTATCTTCGATTTCTCTGGGCTTACATTTTACTTTTAAAAACTCACTGTTATCTTTTAACTTATCTTTTAGATCTAAGTCATTTTGAGTTTAGTTAGTTTTTTATAGGTCATGAATTTTTTTTCTCGCGCTTTTTGAGATTTTCTTTAAAAAAGACGCAAAGCTTAATTTTTGTCAATTTTTTAAAACAGCTTTCTCCCTTCAACTAAATTTTCATCTCTTTGTTTTTTGTTTATTTTAGTAGCAATTTTCTTTTTGAATTCATATTAAAAATTCACTTCTCTGAATATCCATAAAATCTAATTACTTTATTATTATTTAGCTAATCTATTTCTTATGATAAGACTGCTAAGTTTTCACAGAGCACTTCGACTAACACAAACTAATAAATATAAAATTCTGTTAGTTGTGTCACACAGGTAACACAAAAATTGTTTAAATTCTTAATGAGTTGGCCTAGATTTTTAGTTAGCCTAAATAATAGCTTGATTTTAAATGCATTTGTTAAGAGCCAGTCACTTGTTCGCCAATAATGCGCTACCTGAGGTTTTTGGACTTTTTCCTTTAGCCTTATCCTAATAGTATGATATATTACAACAGGTAAACAGCAATTTAGGCATATAAGGCATATTACTAATAAGCATGGCCGACGCCATTAGGGTGGCATTTGGACAGAGCTCCCTCCTTTTAGTCTATAGGACCTTTTTTTTATTTTAAGAAATTTCAAGATATAGAGGATTTTTTTACAATTCTGTGCACGCATTTTGAAAACCGCGTCGTCGGCCCTAATGGGTTGTGGTGTCTTTTGGCTTATCATTAATTTACCATTTTATGACATATTAGCATAAGATTTATGATAAAACATTACCATAAGATTTATGACATAGACACATTAACGAAATTGAGCAGTTGAGTTATAATAATTTAAACGTGAAATTTTTGATTATCGAGGAAAGATGTTCAGCTAAAGCTCTGAGAACATTAGTGCGAGCCTAGTTTTTTTAAGTACTAAATAATATGAAGTAATTAGAGAAATTAAAAAAAGTAACCATTAAAAAGTATCCTAGCGTCAACTTTTCTGTTTGCTTTTACATAGTCTTAAAATACATAGTCATAAAAGCTGTTAATATGACTGGTTTTTATTGTTTATAACACGATTTAGATCACGTGAATGAGATGCGTCATAAAAATCGACAAAAGCATTTTATTTTTCATCAAGTTAAACTGCGACTTGCAAGAAAAAAAAGCGAACGATGTCCGCAACTAAATAAATTTCAAATTTGCTAAAGCAAAAGTTCATTATGGAAAAGTTAGATCATTTGATTGTTAAAGCACACTATGGAAATGTTGTTAAGCGTTTCAGTATATCTTTTCTGTTTACGTATGTAAAGTTGATTTGTATGGTAAGTTTATTGTTTATTATTAAGTTTATTTTTAGAAATAAAACTAAATTAGAAGTTAAAAAAATTATTTTTTAGCAGAACGCGACAAATAAAAGTAAGATGAAGTTACAGTTGACTGATTGAGATTCCTTTTAAACTACAATTTCGAAACTGTTTTTCTTTTTTTTATTATTAATAAAAAGTTACAAATTCAATTTGCAAAATCAGGCTCAGTATTATTTATATAGTTATAAACTAGTTATTGGAGTGTAACCTTAATAAAGTAAACAAATATCTAAAAGCATATATATTTCAAGACAAAAAAAATAAAAATATGAAATCACTCTGAGAATGACTAGAAACTCTATAGTGATTCTAACCACTCTAAGAGATTTATGTATTCTAGCTCTCATCACTTTAAGAGTGATGAGAGCTAGAATACATAAAAAATGACAATATAAACGATGCACAAAAGTACATGACACTATAAAGAATATTCAGAAACACACAACAACATAAAAAGTATTTGATAATATAAATAATAAACATAAATTAATAAATCTGAAAAAATTATTCTTTTTTTTTTATTTATAACCTATTATTTCGTGGTAAATCCGAACCATTTTTATATATTAATATAGTTCTTTTTATTATTATTGACCATTTTCGAATTAATCACAGACATTTTTTCTCTTAACTTTGCTTTTAGTTTTTTTTCTTTAATCTTTTTTTTATAATCTTTAATATTTTCCTATTATATAACATAATAAAATTGTATGAGTAATATACAAATATAATACTATAATAGCTATAGTAATATTTAAATAAACTTAAATAATTATATATAGTCATGTATTAACTTTAAAATGTTTGTAATATATATATATATATATATATATATATATATATATATATATATATATATATATATATATATATATATATATATATATATATATATATATATATATTAAATGCTAGTTGAAAGAACTTCTTGAAATTGATTTTATCACCAATTTAAAATTCATGGATGAAGAGAATGATTTAATAACTGTAAGTACAGAAGAAGAATTTAAAGAAGCTCTAAAAACAGTTTCAAAAACTGATGGTATCTTAAAACTCTTTGTTAATGATAATCAACCACAAGTTCACAATAAAAAAGATGCTAATCAAGATAAAACAATAAAAGAATGCAATTTTGATTTAAAGCTAAACTTTGATAGTAAGGGTCTTCAACATATGCAATCATCTAAGAATGAGTTTGTAGAGAATGCCTACAACCATATTTCATTTGCAGATAATAAAAAAAGGAGTTCAAGCTCAAAAAAAAATGAACAAAAGAAAAAGCATAAAAGTTCATCTGATGATTCAAGCAGGTAATTTAGGTTAGATAGTTACATACATATTTATAATCAATTTATGTTTTATAACTTTTATATTACTGTTTAGATCTTCTTCATCACCTTCATCATCATCTTCTGATGAAAGCTCATATTCAAGTGCTCAACATTTATCTGTGAAAAAAGTATTTTTTTTTTCTATATATATTTAATTATAGAATGTAATAAATAAACTAGTTGAAGGAAAAATAGTGATAACCTTCTTTTGTAAAGATTTGCTCATGATGATATTTTTGTATAAATTTTATCATAGATAACCAATCATTGCCATACCCAGCGATGGGTTGGGCGATATTGCTTATGACAATTTTTGTGTTTCCTTAATAAATAAGTACCAAAAAATAAAAAATAGTAAGGTCACTCTCAGTAATATAATTTATATAATTTCATATTATTATTATAAGTTTTATATTATTATTTTATAAATTATTGTTATATATTATGATATTGTTATATTTTTAATTAATATATTATAATTTCATACTTGTACAGTGACTCGTATGTCTTTTAAAGCCAAATAATAGAAACAGATATAAGCATAACATGCGCAACTTCAGCCATATTTGTTTGTTAATAATTATGTGTTTAAATAGTATTTATTAGTGGTTAAGTCCCTTCTGTGCTGTATTTTTAAAAGCAGTTACTTACTTAAAATGGGTTTTTATAAGCAGTTAATTAGATGAAACTAAAAAGTTTTAAAAGCAGTTACTTACATTAAAGTGCAAGCTGCAAAGATATTTCTAGGACTATGTTATTATATATTATTATATATGTTATTATATATTGTATATTTCTATTTGTCTATGTAATAACTTGTAATTTGTTGGGAAAAAATAAAAATAAAAAAAAAGAAACAAATTAAAATCTTTAGCATTAGTTTTTATTTCAGAAAACTTATTTCAGGCTTTCCCAGGAAAGCCTGGGAAAGCCTGTTATTTGCTTTTATTAAATAATGCTTTTATTAAATAATTATTTGCTTTTATTAAATAATTATTTGCTTTTATTAAATAATGTTGCACGTTATTAATGTTTGAGTTTATAATTATGTTGTGATTTATAAGTAATTATTAAATTTATAATAATTAAATGATTTATGAAGTTTTTAGTTTGGGTGTTCAAACTAATGCCCAAATACGTAATCCCATACTGTTTTACTGGTAAAACAGTATGGGATTAAGTATGGGTACAGCTATGCCAATCATAGATGTCACCTCCTGCATTATTAACTGTATATTCACCTCCTGCATTATTAACAGTTTAGTAATAATAAAAAGCAATTAGTGTCAAATTTTATCTGATTGAATCTCTATATACCTTTACATGCTTACCTTTGGTATCAGCATAGTTTTAAAAAGATCCTAACAATTTGTGATTCTTGATATCTAAAAAATATATTTTTAAGCTTCAATTTTTTGTGTTTAAAATAGTAATAGTCAAAAATGATCTGATTTTTGGCTATTACTATTAAATATTTTTGAAAAGTAGAAAGAAAAGTTCTATATAATAATTTTTATTTTTATAAATCTTTATTAATTCAAGTATCAAACCAAGTAAATCTATAACTGTAAATACATAAATTCAGGGTGGCCAGCAACCTGAAAAACCTGGAAAAGTCAGGAAAATTCTAAACTATGCTAAAAAGTTATGGAAAAGTCAGGGAATATGTTAAATTTTCCAAAAGTCATGGAAAAGTCAGGGAATTTTGGTGGATTCAGTAACAAAATATTTATATTTTAATGCGTATTAGAAACTAAAAGTCTTACATTTTATATGCTATATAATTATTTTGTATAACTTTATTATTCTTCTTTTTCACATTTTGATTCTTACTTTTCAAAAATATTTTTACAGTATTATGTAAAGATCAAACAGGAAAGCAATTTGTTGCAGTTGCTTTTTTCACTTATTTCAAAAGGGATTAATGACTAAATGTGTGAAAGGGAACAAAATTTTTATTTTGTCATATTGTGTTATTAATTAGAAAATTAGTTCTAATTTATTGTAGTATTTTTTGTTATAGCAAATAGTCAAATTCTATAAATATACATAGTGTTTGTTTTAAGTTAATATTCATACTTTTAATTCCAAAATATTTAAAAAAGTTAGAAGTTTGTGTTGTACTTATATAAATGTGCTTACATCTTGTGTTTAGAAAATATATTAAAAAAATGTCAAAACAATGTTACTTCAGCAAAAATTGGTTAAATAAAATGCTTTACTCTGATTGGTTTTGGCTAAAAGAAGTTTCTAATAGTCCTGCACAGGCAATGTGTTCTATTTGTCGAAAAACATTTTGATTTAAGTAACATGGGCATTCAGGCAGTAAAAAGTCAGGAAGTAAAAAGCATGCCAATAGTGTTAGTTTGTATAAGAACCAGTTGCCAATCTATTCTTTATTTAGTATACATCAAATCCAAGAATTAGCTTCAAACAGTATTGTAAAAGGTACAAATCAAATAAAAACAGTATTATTCCAAAACAGTTCATGTGCTTTGAGTGATGTAAGTTCTGAAAGCATTCAGAAAACAGTTGATAGCTATGCTATACGAGATGAAGTCACAAAAGCAGAAATTAACTGGGCTTTACGAGTTGTATCCCACCATGAATCTTATAGGTCCTGTATTAATATAGGAAAAACATTTAAACAAATGTTTCCTGACGGTGAAATAGCTAAGCAGTTCAAGCTTGGAAAGACAAAGATTGCCTATAACATAACTCATGGTATTGCTCCCTATTTCCATGATGTTCTTCTGCAAAAATTTTTTTTATTATGCAATTTTTTGTGCATAATGTTTGACGAGGCACTTAACAGAGTAATACAACAAAGCCAAATGGATATATGTGTGCCCTTTTGGGATTTAGAGAAACATAAAGCTATTACTCGTTACTTTTCATCTGCTTTTTTAGGGCATGCAACTGCTAATAAACTAAAAGCTTTAGTGCAGTGATTGGGGACATGTTATTGCCAAAATTAATTCAAGTTTCTATGGATGGACCCAGTGTGAACTGGAAATTTTTTGATGCTTTAGAAGAAAGTCATTCAGCAAAATTTGATATTCAGTTAATTAACATCGGATCATGTGGCCTCCATGTAGTTCATGGGGCATTTCAGAAGGGGCACAAAGAAGCTGGTTGGAAAGTTAATTCAGCATTAAGTTCCTTATATTGACTTTTTAAAGATTGTCCTACTCGCAGAGCAGACTATTTAGCAATAAACGGTGGTAAAGCAAAATTTCCTTTAAAATTTTGTACGGCGTGGTGGGTAGAGAATGCTGCAGTTGCAGAAAGAGCTCTTGAAATTTTTAACAATGTGAAAACTTATGTAATAAGGTCAAAATTACCGATAACTATTACTGCACAGAATGTTATTGAAGCTATCACAGATCCTCTAATCAAAGCTAAAATCAGTTTTTTTTTTTTTGTCTGTTGTTAATGTAGTAGAACCATTTTTTATGCAATTTCGGTCACCAAGTCCTTTAGTTCCTTTCCTATATGATGAGTTATATCGTCTGATGTCATGCCTCATGGAGAGATTTATCAAAAAAGATGTTTTCACAAAAGCTGATTCATTACAAAAGTTGTGGAAGATAGATCTGCAGAATGAAAAGTGCAATTGGAGACGTGGTAATTGGTGTTGGAGCTGTTTTTGAGTTACAGAATTGTAAAACTGTTAGTTGTCAAAAAATTAAATTTTGAGAAGAATGCGTTGGCTTTTTAATTGCTGTAGTCACTAAGTTAAAAGAGCGTTCTCCACTTAAATACAAGGCTACTAGGCATTTATCATCGTTTTCACCAAAGGTTGTCATCAGTTCACCTGACAAAGCGAAGATATGTTTTGATTCTCTAGCATCATTTCTGCATGAATCTGGCTAATAAAATCAGTCCTAACTGATCAAGCTATGAGTCATTATTCTTGCCTATGCAATTTGGCATCATTAAAAATGGAGATTTTTGAAAATTTTGATATCACTAAGCAACGTTTAGATGATTTTTACTATGAACTAATTGGAGAAGATATGCAATACTCAGCGTTGTTTGAAATAGCAAAAATTGTAATGATTTTATCTCATGGCAATGCACAAGTAGAGCAAGGTTTTAGTATTAACTCAAATGTTTTAGTAAAAAATCTTGCAGCAGAATCTGTAGTTGCCCAACGACAAGTTTATGATGCAATCCTTGATGTAGGTGGGCTGTGCAATTTAAAAATTACACCAAAAATGTTGAAAAGTGTTCGTTTATCGTATGACCGATACCAACAAGCTCTGTCTGACAGGAGAAAAAATAAAGAAGAAGAACAAAAGGAGCTGTGTGAAAAGCGGTGTGCCATACAATTAATAAAAGAGTTAAAGGCTAAAAAAGCCAGATTAGAAAAGGATGCTGAAAGAGAATCGGTAGCTATTAATGCTGAAATAAGCCGTTTTTCATCGTCCATATACGATAATTAGTCTTGCTGATTCTTGGTTACAACATAGTAACATTTGTGTAGACATTTTCAGCTATATTTTAAGTACATACTTTATTTTATTATTTTTTTTTTTTGTTTCAAAGTGTTTACTTATATAAAGTAAAGAGTTTTTAAGGAAACTTCGATTATTTGTGTAAAGTTGTGTGTGTTTTATTTCTTGCCTTTTTATTGCTACATTTGTTAAATTTATATAGGTAAGTCAGGGAAATTTCATTTTAGTCAGGGAAAAATCAGGGAAAATGAAATCTAAAATTGCCTGGCCACCCTGATAAAGCATGGCAGTCTTTATAACTCTAAAGTAAAATGTTTCCAGCATTAAAATGCTCATATTTTACTTTTCCATAAACAAAAAAAATAAATGTTAAAATCAAAATTTTCACATTAGTTACAATTTATTTCCCTAATCTCTTTACAGTCATTTGAATTAATTGCTAGAAAAATGTTTCAGCTTTTATTTTATCTTGCCCCATAGTAATTAGCTAAAACTTGAAACTCCTGAAAAATTAAAATGACTGAGCAAGTGTTGTTTTATTGTTTTATAAACAAAACAATAAGTTTCATGATTTTTTTAAAAAATGAACCAATAAGAACGCGCAGCATTTTTAAAAAATGAAAGAGCCTAAACGCACTATTTTCCTATAGATCTCTCCATAACTATGATATGTCTCTTAATTTTTGTGTTAATAAAATATATCATTTTATTAAATACCAAAAGCAGTAATAAATCTCATGAAATTTTGTTCAATTTTTTTTGTTAGTGTCTTAAATCATTTAAGAAAGAAATTAACAATGAATTTGAAAAAAAACTACAAAATTTGGAAGATAAGATAAATGCTGTATCAAAAAAGCTTGAAGTTGTTATCCATTCTGTTCCTGGAAGTAATGTTTTGAATTTGTCACAATCTAAAAAAAACTCCCGTGGTAAGTATTTCTATTTTTTATTTTAAGTTTGTTTACATGTTTACTTCTTTAATTTTTATAGAAAGAATTTTTTACAATTATTAAGTACTTTGTTTTTTGTTATTGTTTTTTTTTTTATTTATGTTTCTGTTATATTATTTCTAAATTTAATTTCAATTAAATTAAGTTTCTTAATTTATAGGACGATATCTACATACCAATGTAACATGTGATAACTGTACGGTAGAGATATTTGGACCAAGATACAAATGTGGGTAAGAACAATTTCAGTAAAAATTTTGGCAAAAATAGTAAAATTTGTTTCAAAGTTTTTTATTTGAGATCATTTTTATAATTTACAATGTTTACACATATTTAATAGATTTAATTTCTCTCCTTCAGGAATTGCAGTGATTATGATCTTTGTGAAGAATGCGAAAGTATAGAGGGTATACATTCACCAAGTCATGTTTTTTTAAAGATACATTATCCCTCAAGTCATTCTGGAAGAAAATTTGGTTTGATGTCTCGTCCTCTATTGCAAACAAATATATATGAGGAAAGAGAAAAAGAAAGAGAGAAGTACATGACCTTCATGTGTTTAATGTTGTTACACCATTATATGTGTGATATATCCAGCCTTCTTAGGAGATGCATGCGGTCACATGCCTTATATAACCATGCATATAATTTTTTTTTTTTACAATTTAACCACGCTTTTTTGCATATATTAATAATTTATGTGTTTTAGAAAATGCACTGCAAAGAATTAACTAATTTAAAGAGAAAATTAAAAATAAATTATTAACTGAAAAGAGACACGAACTTAATGATAAAATAAGTATAAGATAAATGATAAAGGCATAAAACTAATTTTTTTTTTTTCATTTAAAAGTGTCTTAGTAGTTCAAACTTAATTAATTTAATATAAAAGTCAGGGCTTTGGAGCCAAGGTCTAAAAATTGGCCCAGGCTCCGACTCCATTACAATTTTTGGCTCCAACTCCAGCTCCATAGCGGCTCCACAAATAAAACAATTCAAAATTTTGTTAAATGTTTTATGACATTAACTTCATATTTTATTAATAAAAATCTTGTTAATAAAAATCTAAAATATCAGGTTTGAGTGAAGAATAAACAGAAAACATAATTTTAAAGAAATATTGCTTGTTGTTACTTAGAGGATACTGTTGTTTGTTAAGACGTCTTTATTACATCCTCACTGAGTTCCGTGCCCACTGGATACCCAGTGGGCACAGGACCTAAAAAAGACGTATTTTGAATGTTCAATAGACATTCAAAACGCTCCAAAGACGTTTAAAAAACCTCTTTTGTATGTCCCGTTCCCACTGGGTAAAACATGTGATCGTTAAATTCAAAGCGAAAACAAACTCAATAAAAATGAAAAATAGTTTAACTAATGCAAAAACTTCAAAAAATATTTATTCTACTCAAATATCCTCAAATTTTCCTTCAAATTTTTCAATGGGATGGAACTGTGTGCAGATTGATGGATTCAAGCAAATTTAGGTATGAATTTGATGTCTCCTGAACTGTACCACTCTTTTTAGAATAATGACAAGAAGCAACATTAGACCAGAATCAACAGGGTACATCGTGACTTCGATATAATTGCAAAAGTCTACCATGCAAGTACTCTTTGATGAAAATATCTGAGTTTAAAGTTGACAATGTGACAAAAGCTTGAGATCTCAAACCACATTTGCTTATTGCTTGCCAAAATTTAATCTTTAAAAAACTCTGAAACTTTATACCTTTTGGGTTGTTCTCTGTTCGATAAGCTGGGATTTTGCGTGAATGATCGTCAAATACTAATTGCTGCTTTCTTATCCTTAAAGCCACTCTTTCTTCCAGATCCTTTTGCTTGTTCGATAGATAGAGAGCTCTTGTATTGTTTTATGACCATATAAACAATAGTTTTGCTAGATTAAGATCCTTTAGCGCTTGAAAGTAACAATGCAGAATGAATTTGTAGATAATTGTGCAGAATTTTTTTCGTTTTTCTAAATGTTTCAATGACATTTTAATTACAAGATTTCAATGACATTTTAATTATAAGAAAACAAGATTTCAATGACATTTTAATTACAAGAAAAATTTTGACTTGTTTGTTGACGTTTTTAATTAATACTGTTATTACTTAATGTAATTACGCGAAAAAAAAATTTAGTTAGTGACAAGTTTTAAAACAAAATTCATTGTTCTGAATTTAACAATCTTATGCTTTAGTATAATTTAAAAGATAAGAATAATCTTTGATCATTAAATCGCGCATCAAATATTTAAAATCATAGTATCAGTATAAAAATATAATATAATGCAATATATGCAACACTGTAATATACACTTTACTTTTTTTTTAATAAAGCATAATAAAAAATGCTATTAAAGGATAGTATTTTGTTGAGCACAAAATTGTTTAAATATTCATTTTTATTATGTTTTGGCACAACCGTAACTGTAAAAAAATACGAGAGCCAAGAGCCGCTTGATTTTTGCGGCTCCGGCTCTGGCTCCACTAAAAAGATAACGGCTCACCGCCTCCGGCTCTGGCTCTACTAAAAAACACCGGCTCTGGCTCCACTAAAAAACAACGGCTCACCGGCTCCTGCTCGGCTCCACAAGCCTGTATATATGTATATAAACATATATATATATATATATGTATATATATATATATATACATATATATATATATATATATATATATATATATATATATATATATATATATATATATATATAAAATATATATATATATATATATATATATATATATATATATATATATATATATATATATATATATATATGTATATATATGTATATGTATATTTTTGTATGTATACACATTTACATACATACACACAATATATGATAATTTTTTACTATACATTATGCAATTTTTATTATATACTATAAAAGCACTGCAATGTTTTTTAAAAAATAAAAATATAAATATAAATATTTTTTGCTGCGCTCTCCTGACTAAAAAACACGTATTTCAGTCACTTTATCATAAAAAATGACTTTATATTTTATTCTTTATTTTTCTACTTTTTTTTTTAATATGTAGAGAAGACTTGTTACAACGAAAATTGTCGTCAGGCTCTGAAGTAAATGTCAAAGCATTTGAAGAAATTGATAATCTGAAATTAAAAATCAATGATGCTGATGTATTAAGGTTTGAAAAATAGAACTTTTAATGTATATATTAAAAGACTTTTGCTATATATTTAACTTTTATATAAAAGTGTCAAATGGTCATAACACACCTGACATAATGGTGGGTGCCATATATCACTGAAAATATTTTTTTCAAAGCGTATCAATTTAGTCACAAAATAATATTTTATATAATATATAATTTAATGTATATTTCTTAAAATATTTTTTTTTTTACCCAATAAATGTTGTGCAAATTAATAAAAATAATAAATATTAAATTCTAAATGCACTATGAGCTAACCAATCACTAAAAACTAAATAAATTGCCAAACACTAAACAAAACACTCATGACTAAAAAAAAAAGCACTAAAAACTAAACAAAACACATCAAAACTAAACAAAACACTCAAAGCTATAAAAAAAAAAAAAAAAAAAGCGCTAAAAAATAAACAAATCACTTAAAACTAAATAAACACACTCGAAACTAAACAAAACACTCAAAACTAAAAAAAAAAAACATTAAAAAATAAACAAGTCACTTAAAACTAAAAAAGTCACTTAAAACTAAAAAAAGTCACCTAAAACTAAACAAAACACTCGAAACTAAGCAATAAAAAAAAAAGCAAAGCATAATTGTAACAAAATATCCAATGTTAACTTTTAAAAACAGATTTTAGATTTTAGTATTTGAAGTCCTTGAAATTTTTATCTGTATTTTATGTAATTTTTATTTGTATTTGTATGTAATTATAGGCTTTTAGATTCAAAAAATATAAATGCACAAATATAAAGAGTAAACTCTAAATATGAATTAGTATTTTCTTCTGTTTTCTTTTTGTTTTTCTAATACAATTTTCGGAAATTAAAGCATCGATAATGTAACTTTTATTGGTTCCTTAATTATTGGATTAATTAAAACCTTGCTGATCATAGCATAACTATTACTTTTTTGAACTCCATTCTATTTAATTATTGAGTGGCGCTAACATAATAACACTGAACGATTGATTGCTCTTTTTTTTTATAACTTTATTTTCATTTTTGATGCTTTTATGTGTTTATTCTAATAGTTTATAATATAGTTACACTTCATAAACATATTTATATGTTTATGAAGTGTAACTATATATACAGTTACACTTCATATTTACTGTATAAACAAATTTATATATATATATATGTATATATATATATATATATATATATATATATATATATATATATATATATATATATATATATATATATATATATATATATATATATATATATGTGTGTGTGTGTGTGTACATATATACATACACATTTTTGTTTTCAAGGGGCGAATCAACTTAAATTTGTTAGCGAAAAAGTTATAAAAAATAAAACAATAAGTTACGACTGCAAAAGTAAGAACACTCTAGTAACTAACTGCATTATAAAAGTAAGAACACTATTATACTGTTATTACTTTTATAACACACTTATAACTTTTATAATTCATTCTTTGTTCAAACAACATAAGCAACAAAAAAGCATCTAGAAAAATAGAGTGGATATTTAAATAATATTTAAAACTTAAGGAACTTTAACAACTTTCAAAAATTTTAAAATTAACATGCATTTTTACAGATTATTAGTTAATTAATAATAGTTAATTTATTAGTTTAACGCTTTTCATAATGCTAAACCTTTTATTTATAAAAGTATATAGTTTTTTAAGTGTATTTGTAAAAGTTCCTGAAGTTTTTAATAATATTTGAATATCCACTAAAGTTGTTAACCGAAAGATTTCGTACAATTCCAGAAAAATAAAATTCTTTTGGAAGTATATTGAGAGTATAGAATTATTTGTTTTTCATACCAAGTTTTATGAAACGAAAAAAAAAAATAAAAATGCAGATGTTCATTTTGCAAATGCTCCTTACAAAATGCAGCCTTTCGCAATTTACAAAATAAAATTTTTGCTACAATTGAAAGTAACGCTTACAGAAGTTGCACTTGCGGAACAAGGTTTTGAAATCTAAAAAAAAAATGTTTGGCCAAACGGATATAATTGTAAAAAATAAAGTTTTTATATACCAATGTTTATAATAAAATTTTTTTTTCAGTATTGCAACATAATAACATTTTGAGGGTTTATTTTTTGAAATAAACTTAAAAACCAAGTTTCTTTTAAAACAAAACTATTTTGCACCGCAACTTGCGGAAAAGTTCTTAATGGAAAAAAACTTACGAAACGCAGCATAATAAATATATAATTATGTTGTATGAATCAAATACATATAATTAACTAAGTAACTAAAATACTAATTATTATATGATATTGATAAGTTTTAGGTATAAACTTTATATATAAGCCAAGACTTTCATAAAATATACTTTTTGAAATGTCATTTAATAAATAAAAATAAAGAAAATAGCTTGAACAATGTTAACATACAAATGCCATTGCATAATTGGGAAGTAATGCCTTTGTTGAAATTAAAAAAAAGACCTAATTTAATTAATGAATGCTAAAACTTAATTAGATATTAAAATGGTTAATCCTAGCTCTTAAATAGATATTAATAGATAAAAAAAAGTAAGGGTGAGAAGGTGGGAAGGGTACTTTTTTCCCCTTGTGTCGTTGGCCATGGAAAATGTTTTAATATGCAACATCCCAATGTTATTGTGACTATACAACTTCTGAAAGTTTTAAACCTCTAGCTATTTTGGATGGTAGGGAAAAATTAATTGCAAAATTTTGTATTAAAACAGCGGGCACATACAACACAATCCTTACCCAGGTCTTCGCCCTTGGAAACATTTTTAACAGAAGCTCACCAGGACTATAGAAGCGCTGAAAGTTTATTAGCTGTAGCTAGTCTGAAAGGTATCTAAAGGTAATCTAGTCTGAAAGCTAGCTAGAAAGGTAGCTAGTCTGAAAGGTATCTAAACTCTGTACTTGAAATATATTTTTATATATTAACACGTAGGTGTCACATTGAGGGGCGGGGGACGTTACAAAAAGTCCTCATTTTTCGAATTTTGCCAACTGATTTGTCTAAAATGGTCAAATTTGCAAAACACGCACATCACTCCCACACACCAAACAACAGGGAGAAAAGGAAGCTAAGTTAAACTCAAAATTTAAATGTATATAAATATATATATATATATATATATATATATATATATGTATATATATATATATATATATATATATATATATATATATATATATATATATATATATATATATATATATATATATATATATATATATATATATATGTATGTATATATATATATATATATATATATATATATATATATATATATATATATATATATATATATATATATATATATATATATATATATATATATATATATATAATAATAATAATAATAATAATAATAATAATAATAATAATAATAATAATAATAATAATAATATTACAAAACTCTATTTCGGTTAAGAGTGCTCAATATCGTTTACTTTATAAATAGAGCGGCATATATATACATATATATATACACTTACTAAAGTGTGTTTTGATAAGCATTTGCTCACTTTTTGTGCTTACTTCAAGGTAAACCATTTTTTTCGAAAAAGAAGAGGAAAAAAACGAAGAATGATAAATAAAACGATTGCTTCCCCATCCCAAACCCTCAGTCGATGTAGCAGCACTTCACTGCGAGTCAGGCTATTTGTCAGTCGTTGTATGTACTGAAGCCCCCAGCAGCCAGCTATTTCAGTATGACGTCAGATTGCTTACCAAAGTACGCAATACTGTTTGTATGTGTATATATATATATATATATATATATATATATATATATATATATATATATATATTTGTTTACATAGAGAAAAAAACAACTTTTCATGGAACCACAAGTTTCATGCCTATACTGCAATCATCAGCCATGTACTATATTTAAAACAAACAAAAAACCGTTAATAAAATTACAAAATATAGTGTAGCGACATCTGACATCTCTATAGAGACAAAACAAGAAAAGGTCAAAGAAAATTGCATATAAATCAGCTTATTGCCAGTATCATATATTCTTTGATATTCTTTCTTGAAATGATTGCAGATTTTCTGAAATATTATATTTTTTACAAGTTTTAACATCTTTTTCAAATAATGAGATTTTTTTAATAGTTGGTGGGCATTTTGCAGATTTTATACCATAGTTTATAAACTGAGACGATTCTTTGTTATCAGAAAGTTTGTTTATGAAAAATAAAGCTTTCCACCTTATTCTTTTGAGAACCTCAGTTTTCTGAATTAACTATATTAAAAATTATTTTTCTGATGAAATTGGAATACTTTTGATAGAGTAGTTAAAGTTAATTTTCTCCATTTTGTGTACGAATTCGAGAGGAATGCTCGACTAACAGGAGCATACATATCTAAAATCTCTCTCTCTCTCTCTCTCTCTCTCTCTATATATATATATATATATATATATATATATATATATATATATATATATATATATATATATATATATATATATATATATATATATATATATATATATATATATATATATAGTATATATATATATATATATATATATACATATATATATATATATATATATATATATATATATATATATATATATATATATATATATATATATATATATATATATATATATATATATATATATATATATATATATATATCAAGCCTTCCCAGGAAAGGCGTGCCGTTTTTTTTCTCATACGGCCACGATTATAAAAGTAATAAAATTATAATAGTGTTATTACATTTATAAAGCACTTATTACTTTTAAAGTTCATTTTTTGTTCAAACATCATTATTAATTCCAAACATTTATTAAACTAGAAAAGCATCTAGAAAAAATAAAGAGGATATATCGCTTAAACAACATTACTTTATAAAAAGTGTAGCATTATGAAAAACGTTACATGAAAACAAGCGTTAATTTTAAAATCAACCAATAAAAATTTTTTATTGGTTAGTTTTAAATTTAACGCGCGTTTTTACGGTCCATTAGTAACGTTTTTC